TTCTCTCCAGGCAAGTGTCTCTTTCATCTACTGAGAAAGTCACTTGGATGTAGTAGCATCAAATCCTGCTTTCTTGCTTACTAGTTATGTAAATTTAGATCATTTTTAAAAACCCTCCTTGCCTCTGTTTCCTCTTCCGTAAAATGAGAATAACAACAGAGCGTTCCTCACTGGGTTTTTCTAATCACTAAGGGAATTAATTGATGGAAGGCCCTAGCAGTGTGTCTGGAATGTGGTAAACACTTAATAAGTGTTTGCTGGTTTTTAACTATTTAATCCTCAAATCACCGCTTCCCTCTTCAATGCCACTTTGGCACCTTGTTCAAACATCTGTCATGCACTTAGTATGAGATGACTGGTCTACCTGTCTGTCCCTCAAACTGGACTTACTGGACTGGGGGGCTCTTTAAGGGCCAGTCTTGAAATGTGAGGTCAGTAAATACTGATTCTATACAACTGAGTGGAGGAAATAAAGACAAACTTTAAGTAAGACATTCAGAAGGGCTGAACCTCAAGGGAATGCTGTAAACTTTTATTCTAGTTCGAGGTTCTGGGGCAGTAGGTATTTCAAGGCGCCCAGTAGCCCTTCTGCCCTCGTGACCGATGCCCCATCTCCAGCTTCCACACCACCACTGGCTGTCCTCAGCACTGTCTTGCCCAGGGGAGCCTGGACAGGGATCCTCCCTTCCATACTGATGGTGGACAGGCAACATTCCAGAGCCTGGTGCTGACATCCCGGCTCATCATCTACTGCTAAGTAGCACTAACAGGAGAGCTCAGATGAACCTGCTTAGGAAACTGGAAGCAGGGCTGTGGGGGGTGGGGGGAGAGGGGGTTCCTGCCAGGCAGAACACAGATACTCCTGCAGCTTGATGTTCCCTTAGCTCCAGGCTTGCCTGCCAGCCTCCCCAGAGACTTCCTTCAGTCATTCTCACTCCTGTGGTCCACTGCATCATTGAACATCAGTCAGGTGCCTCCTACCTCAATGGTAAAGGTTGGAGTGTTTCCACGTTTAAACACCCACTGGCAAATGTGGGCTGCCTCCCCCTGCCCCTCTCTCTATCCCTCCTCATCACTCTCTGATTTCTTCTATGATGCAGTACACATGAACCACTGCCTTCTGCAACCAAATCTGGAATTTTCATCCTCATTGCTGAATACCCATTAAGACACTTACTTCTAAACGTTTGCTGACCATTCTCCCCATTGTAAGAGAAGCTAGCAAGGCTGTGGCCTAGCCACTCCCATCCACGCCAGCCCCTCTCTCAGAAGTGGTCCTGAAAAAAAAAAAAGAAGACATGTTCCTGGTCAGGGCCACTGTCACCTCTCACTGGGCATGCTGAGTGGGCTGCCCAGGGCACCCAAATCCCATTTTTGAGACACAAAGAACCCACTACTTTGGAAGCATCTGCAGACCCTATTAGTCCCCATCTGTCTGGTATTTCTAATTAAACATCAAAAACATCCCCCCTGGCCTGGCTGTCGATACAACAACCCAGGGGCGGGGAGGAAGTGAGCAGCTTGAGTTTGCCAAGTACTTTATGGACAGTAATGCAATAAAGAAATCGGAAAATGAACATATGTGTGTGTGCACGTGTCCTGCTTTATACAGAAGGAAGCAGATTTGGGGTAAAGAGAGATGACAGCTCAGTTAAACTACCCTTTGCTGGGCTCATCAGAATGGCTGGGGATGGGGGCTGCCTCCCACACTCTTCCTGGAGCTCGTTCTCTGGTTAACCTCTTCCCCTGTCCCCCCTTTCTGACTCCTCTAACTGTATGCTCTTAACATACACATATATATATATATATAATTTTTTTTTTAATTTGGCTGCACCATGACTTAGTTGCAGCATGTGGGATGTGGTTCCCTGACTGGGGATCAAACCCAGGTCCCCTGCATAGGGAGCGTGGAGTCTTAGCCACTGGATCAGCAGGGAAGTCCCTTCTTTTTCTTTCTGAGAGCCCTAATTCTTTCCCCCAAAACTTCACCCCTAGCCCTGACTGCTCTCTGCCCACCTTACCGTCCACCTCAGCTTGCCTCGCCCCAGGAGCCATTTCTTTCCTTGGGCTTGACTCTTTCATCCACCACCACTAGCTCTACCCCTCTTCTCTCTGTGCTCTCTTCCCGTCTCTCATCGATGCCTTAGTTTGCCATCCTCTTTCTGTGGTTTCCAGCGCTTCCCCACCGACTTTAAGTTCCACCGACAGCAGAACTACCAGAGAAATGTTCCCTCCCCGAGAAACCTCTCCTCACAGAGGTCTCTGTGCTCTTTGGGGGAGACTGCCTGAGGAAGGTAAAGCAAATCCCCCATTGTTCAGGGCAATTAGCTGCCGTGGATGGGAGCCATTGAACGGCTGCCACTCGTGGGAGGCTCTTGGCTACAAAAGTCCCATTCATGATAATACATTTTACAGACACCCCGGAGGCCTGTGAGAACCTCTGCCCAGACACCCTGCTCCACAGGAGAGAGAATCCCTGTCAGCTCGAAAGAAACAGTTTTCATTCCTGCAGATGAACCATCAATTGGGAGCATCTCCTATGCAAATAAGCTTTCTGAAGCCTCTCTGCAGAAGAGACCTTCTTCTTCTGTGAAGGCCAGAAGGGGTAACCTTTGGAAGAGTGTGTTCCAGCTTCCTCCTGTGCCTAATTACTGAGCTCCTTTCTTCCTAATCATCTTTATTTTAATGTAAGAATATGATAAATGTCAGAATGTCATGAGATGAATGTATGATCTAATTTATTTTTGCAGGGAAAAAAAATGAGACCTGAAATATCTATTTAAGTCAGGTGTTCTGAAAATGATTAAATAAGAGGAATAAGAGGAGGACCTGAGTGTAAAATACAGCTCAAGAGGCCTGGTGCCACCAATTCAACCTGCTTATTACCCTGTACGATGTGAATAATTTACCACATTTTACCCTGCATTAAGCACTGTTGAGGATTAAGCCACAGTTTATTTGCAAACCACATTAACCCCTACCTGCCTCGACCCGCTGTTTCAGGGAAGGGGGGAAGTTATGGGAACTCTCTCTGCTGCTCTAGTGTCCACGTTAGTGAGGGCTGGACAGCAGTAACTGGCCTGATTAGCCCTCTCCAGAGAATTCATCTGGGAATAGAAAGTACACATGTCACCTGCTTCTGGGGCATTTTTCTCCTCCTAACTTTCAAGTCCTCCCACTTGGGCTATCTCCCCTACCCCCCACCATCATGTCCTTTCCATTTCACTTCTTATGTATCCTTTCATTTCTAAGCCATACACACTGGTCCAGGCCCTTGCTTCTCATGCTGGACTCAGAGTCACAGCCCCTCCCTCCTGACCTCTTTGGCTGGCCCCCACCCTCACATTTATCCCGTATCTGACCAACGTTCCTAAATCCGATTTTCACCCCAGCTTTTCTGGGCTTGGAAGCATTCAGTGGAGAGTCCTGCTCAAGGATGCAGACCTGCCTCCTTCACCCAGAACCCAAGGGTGTGGCACCACCATTTCTGCAACCTCATTTCCTCCTTCTCCTTTCCAGATACCCCCCCCCTTTCAACAAACCAACCCCTACATCTCTCTGAACAACCAGACTCTCTCCCACCTCCATCTTTGTTTTTCGTTTGTTTGCTTTGCCACATCATGCAGCTTGTGGGTTCTTAGTTCCCCTAGGAGGGATCAAACCCAGGTCCCTGGCAGTGGAAGCTTTAAGTCCTAATCACTGAACCGCCAAGGACTTCCCTCACACCTCCACTTTGACCTGCCCTCCTCCCCAGAAGCCGTGCACCCCCTACATCCAGCCAGCCCAAAATCCCTACTGGGTCACAAACTCATTACTCCCGGCTCCAGACTGCTCTGAGCTTCTGTTTCCAGCCAGCCTCAAACCAGTACCCCACAGAGCAGCCCTGCAGTGGGAACTGTAGACTATGCCTGGAGAGACCCAGAAACTGCAATCAGCTTGGAAGCAAGATCTGAGGACCCGTCTCCAAGGTGTAGTGTGCATTCAGCTGATTCTTTACAGATCAATGAAAATAGAAACTTCTCTTATGGGGCTTGGATTCACACTTTACATACGCACTTTACACTTTACAACATAATCACACTTTATGTTGATTACAACTTATGTAATCAACATAAGTTGATTTACAACAACTGCCCATGTTTTAAAAAATGTTATTTGTATTTAGCGCTTTTTGGAGGACTGCCTAATGAAGAGGAAAAAAGCAAAATAAACCTCTCCAAGTCACTCTTTGACATTGTACCGCCGTTGAACTATTCAAGGAAGCATAAAAAGCCAACTCACAAACAAACCTTTTGCATAGAAAAGCACAATTTACAAAGCATACCTAGTAGGTGTCAGAATTATTCACAAAATGGGTGTGACCCCAACTTTTGGAACCATTTATTTGCCTCATTTTCTGCCATCTTATTTGGTTTTCCAGATGTCCCTCCAGGACATGGAGGCAAGCTCACAAGGAATGCACAGTCCGTCTGCTCCTTTCTCATCCCCCAGGGAGCCTGCTCCAGGACTCTCAGCATCTGCCTCTGTGTTCACTCTGCCTGCTCACCTGGCTCCACAGGACCACCCTCTCATCCACTTCCTTCACTCCCACTGGAGACAACCTCAGACCTTATCTGATACTTCAGGATCTCAACAGCATTTTTTCTTTCTCCACTTTCCAACTGGGTCTCTTATCTCAGATCCCTTACAGAAGGAGATAAGCAATGAATGACTGGGAGAATGATGTCCCTTGCACGTCCTCACCTGTGTAATAATAATAATAATAATATAATTCTCTGTGTGGCTGATTACTGGCCCTTCACGGACATTGTATCGCATCAGCCCTGAGGCTCAGGCGGTAATGCGCTGCACTCAGGTTACAGAGCTATTGGTGTATCACCCCTTTCTCCAGGACTTCTAGGTCACCCTGGAGGATCCCATGTTTCTGACTGAGCCAGACTCAAAGCTGAAGTTTACACACACCAATGGTAAGTGACCTTCACCGGTCCTAACCTACATACCTGCCTGAAGGACAGAACAGAGACAGGTTTGTGAGCCCAAACAGGATGGGTGGCAGCTTTCAAGTAGTTCCTCTCCGTGGTGAGTAGCTCAGCCTCTATGCCTGGAATGCACTGGAGGACTGCCGTCCAGTCTTCCCCTCGCGTGGAGGCCTTGTCAGCTTCCTCGTCACACGGGTTACTTCCCATTCACTCCCTGCCCAGACTCAGGTCCAGCTGCAGCCTCAGCCCACAGACACAGCAGGCAGCTGGGAAACAGCTGCCGGTGACCCAGATTGTCTTTGGCCAAGGCCGGCCCAGCCTGCAAGGAGCAACTTATAGAACACAATTCGGAGAGTCCTAGGAGCTCTCACCAGCTGGCCAGAGAGACAGAGGCAAGTGGTCAGTGGCCCTAGGGCCACCCTTCTCCTAGGTTCTAGGAGACAGTCAGCCCCAGGGCTGCAGCGACCAGACCGCCTGAGGGACATGTCATCTTCAGGGTGGTGATTTGATCTGTGCTTGGACGGGGCCACTAGTTCACATGGGGCACCATGGCCCCATTGCTCGGCAACTTAATTCAGCATCTGAACAATGAGAATCATACACAGACTAAGAAGAATTATTCACCAGCAAGGAAGGAAACTGGAGGAATCCAGAAATCTTCATGAATTCTCTGCACTGGAAGAAAGGATTAAAATCTAAGAAAGGTAGAGGACTGCAATAGGAGAAGGAAAAAAAAAAAGCCTCAAGTGTGGCAAGAGAAACTATAATTAAAATAGCAAATTGCAATTTCGGGGTGGGAGGAGGGAATGGATGAGCTTAAAGACCAAGGGACATCTAGTGAAGCATCTGACAGAAATGATTCCCAGGGATGTTTTGGGGAGAAAAAAATCCATCTGGAAACAGAGAAAAGGAAATGAAACAAGAATTTGCTGCATTATTTAAAGCTTTCCATGGTGGGGGTAGGGTAGGGGACATTCAGGAGAGAGGAGGTTAAGAGAGAAGAGAATGGAATTGCTCTACTAAAAGGGATTAAAAGAATCATAAGGGCTTTTTAAAATGACTCAAGCCAAAAAAAATGGGGGGGATGCAAATAATTGTAGGCTGTGAAATTAATGGTGGCCAAGATTCTTAGTTGATTCTTTAAATCTGCTTAACAGGAAAAATGAAGGAGAGACATTTGTATGCTTGGGGAGTGATGGGAGTCCTTGAAAACACATTTCTATAGAGCACTGACAAGACCAAATGCACAGCAGACAATATGTGTCCTGGGATAAGACTGAGCTGGCAGGGAGCTCAGACTCTGTGGCAGGGGCAATCTGCTTACCTAAAAATACCTAGTGCCCCCTCCTTTGAATATTTGTCTTCCCAAATATCTGACTCCTTCATGAAAGTCTGCATATCATGTCCAGAAATTAGCAAGGTCTACAGATGTTCTTGTAACAAATCACAGTTGAATTAGGAGGGGCCTGGGTTTGAATCTTAGTGCTGTTAAACTCTCCAGCTTTGTGACCTTGGGCCAGTTACTGAACCTCTCTGAGTTTCATCACCTTATAGGACTATGGTGAAGATTAAATGGCATTAAATATGAGAGAATGGCTTTTGTAATGTTGGGTCGGTGATAGGCTATCAGAGAAGCTTCATTAAATTTAAATCCTCCACCCCTTGTCAGTGTCTTTGGTCGGAAGGACCTTCTTCACTGAGTCCTGTCCTTGCAACACACTGCTTCCTAGGAGCTCCATTTTAGAGCTCATTAGGAAACACACAGGCCTAGAATCCTGGGGGAGGTACAAGTCACCCTGAGCCCCAGCAGAGTCTTCACATTGTCTCTGTCTCGACGTTGACACGCCCAGTAGCCTGCCCCCCGTCGGTGTAGCAGGCCTCTGCATATGGCCCTCACACTCAAGCCCACCTCTATGCTTCACCGCACTGAGGCTCTCTTCAGCCCAGCCCCTTCCGAGAGGCAGCCCCCCACCCTTATGAGATGTCTGTACATCCTGAGGCTCAGACTCACCCTGAGGGAGCCCAGCAGGTGTGATTGGGGCGCTGGTCCTGCCTGTGAGGGAAGCTGAGGGGAGGAGGGAGGGGGAGAACAGTTAGGAGACAAACCAGATTCTAAGCAGAAATGATGAGACGTAGATCCTGGTTTAGCAGAAGGGTTGCTGAGACAGTCTGGGAAGGGAGTCAGCATGACCTCGTGATGAACTAGTCCTGGGTCAGGAGGATAATGGAGAAGGAAATGGCAACCCACTCCGGTATGCTTGCCTGGAAAATCCCACGGGCAGAGGAGCCTGGTGGGCCACAGTCCATGGGGTCACAAAGAACCAGAAATGTCTTAGCAGCAACTGAGCACATATGCACAGGAGGATGAGGAGAGCCTAAATGGACCCACCCCCTTGGTCAGGAATGCTAGGTCTCTCTCTCCAGGGCGGACAGTAGTGGCGGTCCCAGTTAGTTAGTTAGGCTGTGCCCTGCGGCTGCTGGTCACTGTCACTGCCTGTTTCTAACAACTGCACTGGCTTTTTCACTGTTCTTTAACAAGGACCTGGGAGCTCCAGCTTGTGCGTGGGCATGAAAGACAAGGCTCCTCCTGGAGTTGTGCTCCCCACCCCGAGGCAGGCCTGCCTAGCTGTGGCTCCAAGGATCTCATTCAGAGGGCCATTTAGTGCTCACCTTTTGCTCCTGAGCTCGAAGCTAGCTACATGCAGGGGGGCAGCAAACAGGAATGAAACACCTCTTGTGTCCTTCACTTCCCAGTGTGTAATGAGAATCGGATATCGTCACCAGGCCCAGAACTCTCCAGTTTGTGTTTGCCCCCATGAGGCCCACTAGGCCTCACTGTGCAGCTCTGGGAGAACAGAAGTCTGCTCCCCGAGGGTGGGAGAGAGGTATTGTAACCTCCATCTTACCAACATCTTTGTGGCAGAGGTGGCCACCAATCCACACTGGCAGCCCTTGCCTGGTATGCCCACCTCCCCCTGGATGTCTGGTCCAGATGGAGTAGTTTGGAAACCGTACTAATTAAATGAGTCAGTTACAAGACTGTGACTTGGAGCAAATCACTGAGCGTCTGAGCCTCAGTGTCTTCATCTGTAAAACAAGGACTGTCATACCTACCTCATGGGACTGTCGGTAGGATAAACTAAAAAATGTAAATGCAATCTTTTGGTAAACTATAAACTCCAAATAAATGAACGTTAATAACTGAGTGCTTATGCATAGCCCAGGAAGCAAGTCAACCCATCCCCCTTGAGTCTTTCTTAGGCTCCTTGCCTAAACTTCCTTTGTGCCCTACCCTTTCCTCTCTAATAGCACTAATCAACCACTATTATAATCCTCCCTTTGCATGTCAATCTCCTACAGTCTACTGACCACTCGGTTTCCTGGCCTACAGCAGGGGGGCTCAGTACAAATTTGCTGAATGAATAGACTGAGGGCCTGGAAAGCGGGGGCTGAAGATGCCAAATACAGCCACCAGGGGGCAATCAAAGCCTTCCCAAGCAGGTCAGCTTGAGTCCGTGCTGAGGCCCTTCTCAGAGGAAGAGAGAGACCTCTGTAAGAACTGCTCTCTGATGGGTAAAGGCCAGGGCCTAGCGCCCGGGCTGCGAATTCTTTGTCTGACATCGGCTCCGTACAAAGACAGGTCCATATCTACCATGGTGTTCAGAGTCCCTGTGTCTGCCAGAGCCTGAGTGTCCAAGACAACCCTGGAGGAACACAGCTGTGCTGGGGGTGCAGGTACTGCTGACAGAGTCCAAGGGCCAGTGTACGTGTTGTGTGCATGCATACATGCTAATCCCTGAATGGTGTGTTTATGAGAGCTCTTGGCCGCTTCATGGAGATCTGGCCACCCACCCACCCTCATAAGCAGCATACCAGAAAAAGACCAGACCTGGGATGTAGGTCTGATCCACCAAGTGGCCCTCTGTGGCCTCAGCAAGTAGCTTCTCCCCACTGGGCCTTGGTTTCCTCACTGGTGAAATGGCAAAGCTGGGATAGGTGGCTGAGGCCCTCCCTAGCTCTGACCTTCATTCTCTGTGTCTCTGAGGTCAGGGTTGATTCAGGTTCAAGGGCTCCAGGTAACCTTGCAGATTCTCGGTCTGGGTCAGAACCTGAATCCTCAGGATGGGCCTCTGCTACGTCTGACTTCTTATCAGGATGGAACCCAGACTCACGCAGTGGTCACATACTGAATGCTGCCCTGGGCTCACAGGGGAAGGCTTTGAAATCCCTGTGGGGATGCTGTCACTTGTCTTTCTGCCTGTGGGGCTTTCCCAGCTGGGCAGCCTGAGCCGATCTCTGCTTGCCCTGCGTCCCTCAGTCCCCACCTCTCATTCTCAAGCCATCCAGCTGGGAAGGTGAGCTGTGGTGTCCTGGTGGTCTGGGACACTGGCAGCTAACAGAGCCTGGGGCTTCAGTCTCCTGGGACCCCACCCTCACCCCTTCCCTTCATCTCCAGGCAGGACAGGCCAGACAGATGAGAATCTACCCAAGCACAAGCTGCTGTTGAAATAAAGGCAGAGATGTTTCTTTATAATTTTCCCCTTGAAATAAACCCAGACTTAAGAACAACAGAAACACGCAAAATGTGTTTTTAGTGGAACCCAGATGGAGGGCTGGAAGCCCAGCGGGCTGTCTCCATAGAGGGTTCTTGTCTCAGGAATTCTATTCTCTCCCCCCAGCCCCCCTCAGGAGCACCCCCACCCCCCAGGCCTCAGCCTGGGGCTCTCCAGCCCAGGGCTGGCTCCCTCAGGCCAGTTCCTTGGGGCTGTTTCCAGGTGAGCAGAGTGCTACACCCCCCCATCAGCCTTTGGACAAAAGGCTGAGTCTGGCATCTAGAAAAATCTGTGGTTTCAGAGATTTGGGGGAGGGGAGCAGGGACCAGGACCAACTCAATCCAAACACCTGGATCTGCCGAAATACAACAAAGAGAGTGAATTAAGACATCTGAAAAAAATACTCTGAGGAATTCTGCTCACCCACATGGCCCACTGCTTCTCATTAACCGGCTCCAGTGCTCCATATTAACATATGCAAATCCAGTCCTGGGCTGGAAGACAGGATACAAAGACAAGTCCTGACAACCCCCTTTCAACCACCACCCCCCCATCCACCCCCCATCCCCTCCCCCCATTCCCTCTCGGCACCCTCCCCCACCCCAGTGGTCAAAGGGTTCCCTGTGGGATGAAGATATCTCACCAGTTCCGTTTGGGTTTTGCTAAAGCAACAGTCTTGAGAGTTGGAGCCACAGTATGGTCATTCCTTGAGGAGAAACAGATGAGAAGAGTTACTAGGAAAATAGATCCTGTAGAAGCTGACTTTTCTATGAAGTAGGAGTGGTTGTTTTTCAACAAATATTCCTGGATGCCTACCATGTACCATGGGCCGTACTGGGCTCTGGGGGACACTGACATAAACCCGCACATGAGGACTAGCCTCAGACTGTTCAGTGAAGAAGGAAAAGGAAATCAGAGATTATAATTATACAGCTGATGGGAGATAGTGAGTTTGGTCATGGATGAGTTGCCTCTGCAACCTCCAGGTAAAGATAGTTGGATATGGTGGCGGGGGTGGGGGGGGGTGTTGGGGTTTCTGATACTCAAAAGTGAAGTTTGGGCAAGAAACACAGACTTCGGAGCTATCAGCATAAACTTTGAAGATGAGTTTCCTTGCAGAGAGACGTGGAAGATTGAACCATTTTGTAGGAAGAGGCCAATTTGGGCTTCCCAAACCATTCATGGTTTTCTTCTTTTAAAAAAATTTTTGACAGTCTGTTGGTGTTTTTTTTTTTTTTTTGCTGTGCTGGGTCTTCACAGTGGCGTGTGGGGGTTTCTCTGGTTGTGGAGCACAGTCTCTAAAGCAGGTGGGATCAGTAGTTGCTAGCAGCACATGGGCTTTGTTGTTCCATGGCATGCGGGATCTTAGTTCCCCAACTAAGGATTAGACCCCCATAACCTGCATTAGAAGGTGGATTCTTAACCACTGGACCACCAGGGAGGTCCCATAGTTTTCTATTTCACTTCCTCTTTGGGTCATTCCTGACTACACTATTCCTCCAGCAGCTTTCTCTCTTATTTCCCCTTTTTTTCCTGTTTCATTTTTCTGTAGGTGATTGGAATTGAATAGCAGCAGTAAGGATCATGAGGATGGGGACCGTGAACCCTGACTGCTCCAGCTCCTAGCTCCCTGCCCAGCACACAGTGGGCCCTCATGAGGGAGGCCCTCAGAGTTTGTTGCTTGAATAAAGGCAGAAGGAGGAGCCAGGCTAGAGTTCCACTTCTAGCTGTTTCAGGCCTGTGCTGGGCCTCAATCCTGCTCCGAGAAAGGGGAGGGAGCAGGGAGAATGAACGGCAGGGGGCCCTGCCAAGGCCCGAGGCGGCAGCAAGGCCCGAGTCCCGTCTGCGCTTCGCCTCCCATTTCCAGCCTTGACACTTGGATGGAGGGAAACCGTGCACTCTCCCAAGGGACCCTCAGACCTGAACCCTGCTCCACATGCATCGAGGAGTAGGCCAAGAGTGGAAGGAAGTGCCCAGACAGAGGGAGACAGAGTATTAAAATTCCACGGGTGATTCCTCGGGAGGGAGTTTACAGTTCCTAACTGACCGTAAACCCTTCTCCTGACAGGTCTTGGAATACATCACTCTGGGCTCTCCCGGAGCAGCTGACACATCGCAGTAACGCTTCTCCAAAAGTCAGGGTCTGCTGATTCCAGCGGGGACGGCAAGGCGAGCCGGGAGCAGCTGAAATGGCCCCTGTCTCCTCCAACTTCAGAGACTCAGGGCAGGCGGCCCGCCCAGCGGCCGAGGCCCAGCGACTGGGCTGTTGAATGCAGTGCCCGTGATTCCCAGACCAGAAGGCGGTTTGTGAACTGCTTGCCTCTGGGTGAAATTTTATTCACCTGGTGGGGAAACTCGTTTTCTCTCCACGGAATGCTCTGAGTGGCACGTCGCATATGTGTTTTATTAATAAAAATGAGAAAATGGAATCATTATTACTGCATAATTGCAGTTCGTTTGCTAGGCCTAATCTTTCAAAAGCCCAGGTGCCGGGGGTGGGGCAGGGGGAGAAAATAAAAGGGGACCTTGATCTGAACCGCCCAGAGAACCACCTGTGTAGGAGGCTCTCCGGAAAAGACTGAATGGGTATCTTAGAAGTCCCAGAGCAAGCGAGTGTGGGTAGCAACACGCAACCCTCTCTGAGCTACCAGACTGCAGCACAGTCCTGGCGCCAGCTCCAGGAGTCGGGTGACCTTAACCAAGGTCCTACCCTCCTGGAGTTCCATTGTTTTTTTCCAGGAAATTAGAGCTCATATTCCTGCCCTGCTTGGCTCACAAGGTTGTCCTGAGAATTAAATGACAAATGACCTCCATCATGGTTTCTTTCCCTCACTCATTCAATCAACAATCATCTGCCCAGGTATGTTTTGGGATAGACACAGTGCTGGGCAATGAGATGTAAAAGGGAATAAAATGAAACCCTGCCTTCAAGGAGTCCACAGTACAGTGGGGGACACGCAGAGAAAAAGATGAGATGGGGGAACCCCAGATGCACACCCAGAGGAAGGGCATGCCCCTTGCCTGGCATAGAGAGAGCTTCGGGATAGTGATGCTTACTTGTAAAAAGGTGAGCAGGAAAACTGGAAATGTATCACACCATTTCCAAAATGGACATGCTCACGGTGTGTGTGACCTTGAAGGCAGACCTTGATGCTCCAGTCTGAATATAATGATTGACGTGTATTTTATGGCCTTGACTGCCCAATAAGGCTGTTTAAAAGAAAAAAAGGAGAGGATGGGATCAAGGGGACTTTTTGCCAGGCTGCTTTGCCCCCATGTGGAGGACAGCACCCCAACTGTCTCCATGAGTCATTTACACCACCCCCACACTGTGGTGGAGAACTGCTCCTCAGACCAAACCTCCACATGACTGGGAGGCCCCAGGTGGGCCATTAAAATGTGATCTCTTAGGCCTGTCAGAAAGGAGATTAAGATGGCAGATTGACCAGTTTTAATACGGTGGCCCCCACATGGACACAGGCAGGGAGCTGGGCCAAGTGTATATAAATTGCTTTAGCCCTTAAGACAAGAACGAAGCTAAGAACAGCACTTAGGTAGTAGACACCCATACTTAAGAAGCATGCCTATCTTTATGCTATTGACATTTTCTGTAATTTTCTTTTTGGCCTCCTTTGGGGCTTCTCTGGTGGTAAAGAATCCGCCTGCAATATGGGAGACCTGGGTTTGATCCCTGGGTTGGGAAGATCCCCTGGAGAAGGGAAAGGCTACCCACTCCGGTATTCTGACCTGGAGAATTCCATGGACTGTATAGTCCATGGGGTCACAAAGAATCAGACACGACTAAGCGACTTTCACTTCACTTCACTTGGCCTCCTTTAATGGTTTAGATTAAGATTATTTAGTTTAATAGTTTAAGATTATTTTTATTGAGATACAATTGACATATATTAGTTTCAGATGTACAACATAATGATTTAATATTTGTATATATTGTGGAATGATGACCATGATGAATTTAGTTAATATCCATCACCTTACAGTTACAATTTTTTTTCCTGTGATGAAAACTTTGAAGGTCTACTCTCTTAGCAACTTTTTGAATATGCAATATAGTATTAACTATAATCACCATGCTGTACCTTACATCCCATGATTTATGTATTTTATGACTGAAAGTTTGTATCTTTTGATCCCCTTCATCCAGTTCAGTTTTACTTTGTTTTGATCTTTGTTTGTTAGATTCTACATGTATGCGAGATCACGCAGTATTTATCTTTCTTTGTCTGACTTCACTTACCATAATGCCCTCACTTTTTTTTTTGGTGGCTCAATAATATTCCATCGTATACATGTATACTACATTTTCTTTATCCATTCATCTATCAGTGGACACAGGTTGTTTCTATGGCTTGGCTATTATAAATAATGCTGCTATGAACATGACGGTGCATATAGCTTTTTGAATTAATGTTTTCATTTCCTTTGGATAAATACCCAGAAGTGGAGTTGCTGGATCATATGTTAGTTCTATTTCTTAATTTTTGGAGAAACCTCCATACCATTTTCAAAGTAAGGTTATTTTTTAAGATGCCAACCTGTTTCAACTTGAAAAGAGTCACCTTATGTTCTTGGGAACCAAAACGGTGGTGATAACAAAAATCAGAGAGAGAAACCCCTCATTTTATCCTGAGAAGAAAGATGGGGCTCAGGAGGTCCAAGTTCACCCCACATTGTCAGCCACCCTTCCAGCTGGAGTTTCTCCTTTCAGGATTCTTCTGGGTCAAACTTTGGAGGGTTTCTGTGTTTCTTTCCACAGAAAAGACATTTCACTTAGAATGTCAGTAGGAAAATATCATCGAGACTAAACACTGAGCGCTTCCCTCCTCCAACATGAGGGAGAGGTCCCAGAAAAGGGTCTGGGACTCCTGGTTGGGACTTTCATAACTTGTCCCTCTATGGATGCTGGGTCCTATTTTTTTGTCTGTCTGCCAACACTGCCAGAGGTTCCCATACCACCCATACCCGTTAGTTGTGCTGCCAGAGGTCTGCTGGAGAGCTGGGTGGGCGGGCAGGAGATTCAGACAAGATGGGATGTGTTTCCCAGATGAACCAGGGAGAAATGTTTATCCCTCACCTCTGGGCCTGTAATGAATTCAGACTCAAGCCACACAGGCCTAGGAATCGATAGTTTTAATCATTTCAAAAACTAGCCCCACTCTGGGTAAAATTACAATGCGCAAGAAGCTCAATGGAGCTTAAAGGCCACAACCTCATTATCATTTCATTAGACTCACATTTCAGCAAGATGGGAAGAAACGTTCTCACACACCAACCCCTCCCACAGTTCCCCTCGCCTCCCTGGCCCCTGTGGAATAGCTGCAGAGGACTGCGATGGTTTACACCAGCTGTCAGCTCCGAGGACCACTGGCCACTCCCGTCATGCACTCTGCCCGCAGAGGAAGCTTGGCGCGGTCACTGGAGACCTCAGCGCAAATCAGTGCAAATGCCTCCTGAATCAAGTTTGCAATCCTGGGAAGTTTAGTAAAAACAACCCGCTGTCAGTTTGGCTTCTCACAGCTGGAGGGGTCAAGTCATCAACACAATATAAACCCAGGCCAGCAGAACCTTGTCCTGCCCAGGGCCCCAGACGCCCTCTGGGAAGCAAAGCGTTCGAAAATGTCTTAAACTTTTCCAGTTTGTTTATTTTCCAGTGTTTAATGATATTGTCCATGCAAGGAACCGAACCTCAGCTCCTGCTAACAATTAAAGAGGTTTCCTAATTTAGGAGAAAATGTGATTTCAAGAGAGAGAGAAAGAACTTGCACAGGAAGTAAAGCACATAATTCCCATTGAGAATATGCATGCAGAAAAGCCCTGAGTTGAGAAGACCCTGATCAGATGTGAACACTGGAGAGAAAGCTGTTGGGGGGGACTGATCCAACCAGGGGGCCTTTTCAGAGCAGGTCACAAAGTCTGCTCCTCTGGTCTCCCTCTGTCGTACCTGGTCACTCCACCACCACCAGACAGCTTCAAGATTGTAGTGTCCTCAGACCTCACCATCCCACAAGTCCACATGGATTCCCGCCCATGAAAATGACCAGATTTTACTGCTGTTCGATCCTGTCTGCCATAGGTTCACTCTGTGATCAGGGGGCCCCTTGGGAGCACCCCACATGTGCTTATCAGCAGGACTGTCATGGGGAGTAGACCCCATATCTCACAAAAGCTTTGTTCCCCCAGCCCTGTTTGCTCTCTGATGCTGTGCAGCCCACAGTCACCCCAGAGTGGGACTTGCTGCCAGCAGGCCTCCTGAAAACATTGCCACCCATGCCCAGGGCACTGTCCCAAAGCTCCCTCAAAAGGGACACACTGCCCACCTGGTGTCCTCTGTCCACTTGAGCTTCACAGTGTCCTGTGCCCCTCTCCTATGCGGTCACACCCTATCACCGGGACTCCAAATAGCATTGACCTGCTTGAATCTCATAGGACACTTCATGAAAATAGCCCCTTCAGCTTCCCTTGAAGGCTTTCCTCCCATGGGACTCAGCACTAGATTAGTGGGGCAAGGGTGGCACTGTATATTTCTTTCCACTTCCAATTACATATCCGTTGCTGAGAGAAACCTGGGCCCCACTCCTTCCCAGTTGCAGCAGACATCTGAATCCCATGGCTAGAAACAGTTTCAGCTGAGGTTGGGAGTCCTACTCCACATCCTCAGACCAGTCGTTCTCAGCGTTGGCTGGATATTAGAATCACCTGGGGAGCTTTTTCAACTTCTATTGCCAAGGACACACCCCAAAGCAAGAAATCAGAATCTCTGGGCATCAGTAATTTTTAAGTCTCCCTAGGCGATTCCAATCCATGCAGTCAAGATTAAGAACCACTGACTTAGAGGAAGAAAGGAAAGGAGAGACGGTGGGAGGGGGGCAAGGCCAAAATTAGGAGCCACTTCCCTAGGAGGGAAGGGAGCTGAACACAGACCTAGTGCCACACCCTGGGACACACACCGAGAAAACCTAAGGATGCTTTCGCCAGACCGGCCAGTGACTCGCACAGCTGTTGTCAGTATCTCTTTCAGCTGAGTCAACATATTAGGAGAGTCGAGGATGAGTACAGCCCAGACCGGGTGGCATCCAAGGGATCTGCAGGGAGGAGGCCTCATCCACGGCCGTGGTGGAGACAGACTCCTGCAATTGACAGGACGTCTGGAAAGCCCTGTGTCTCTGTCCAAACTTCCCACGGTGGCTGGCCAGCTGCTCTAAGAATGGTGTGGCCAGGGACTGGCCTACATTAGCTAGGTATACCAAGAGTTCATTAATTCACTCATTCATTAGTTCATTTGTTCATCTGCTTGCTCACATACACACATGTCAGAGCTGTGTGTAAAGGACCTCAGATATCATATGCAGCCTGGTGGTTCCCAGGCTTTGTTTTTAGCTGAGGAATGCCGGTTTAAGTGAAACCGTATGGATGCATAAACAAATACAAGGGGAGTTGCTTTGGATAAAGCAGGATTGGAGGCCCTGGACACGGCCCCCTCACCTCCCTTCTCCTAAGGAGAATTCACCAGATTCTCCCGTTTCAAGGAGAAACAGGGTTGGGAAACCTCTCATTTATAGATGAGGACATGGAGGCATAGAGCAGGGTGGGGTCTTGCCCAGGGTCATTCAGATTTCATGTAACAAATTTTCCTGTGCCAGGTTCAGAAAACACAGAGCTGAGTAAGACAGGGTCCTTGCAAAAGGAGAAACTTACAGCAGAGATTACTATATGCACCTCAGATGCTGAGCCAGATGTCGAGTTCAATCAAATGACCTGCCTCTCTCAGCTTGGTTTTCTGAAGAAAGCCCTCTCAGGTTATTTCCCAGCACATGGCATTGGGGGAGAACTGCAGTCCTGTCCTCCAGAGCCCACCAGGTCTGGTTCATGTTCAGCTGGGATGCATCCTGCCAGCCCTCTGACTGTCCTGAGTGTTTTTCCTGTTTGTGGAATACTTTCGATATTACACTCGTATTCCACCATCAAAGTTTCCAAAGTGTGAGAATCAGAAAACATCAGTAACTGATCAGTATTACCTACCTTCTCACTGCTATTACTTGACACTAGAACTACTGAAACTTCCCAAAAAGGGAGACTGTTTTCTTCACAGGGGACTTTCTGGCATGGCCTTCCTGAAGGTGTCTCTTGGGTACAGAGTGGCCAAGCTGAATTCTGAGATGGACTGAAAGTCACATGGTGCCCTAGGACAAAGCATGGGCCTGAGTTCAATCCCTAATCCTCCCACTTGCCAGCAGTGCTGTATGTGTGCAGGGCAGGCATTTCTCCAATCCAGAATGGTGCATGCAGATGGTGCTGGCCCTCCCCAGGAAATGCCCTCAGCTACAGGGAGCAGTCTTGCCTGAGTTATGTCCCTTCCTAGGGGTACAATGACCCAGGCCCATTGCCTAGATGGGGGAACATCTTTGAAGGGTCATCCAAGCTTTAGCAACCCCATGGGAGCACCTGAGACTTCATGGTAATGCCAATGCCATTCAACCTCTCCCTCAGCCCAGGCCTGTTTCTGTGCAGGGCTTGTTCCATGAACAGTCACCAATTAACTTTCTGCACACAGTCTTCCTCTCAGAGTCTATTTCCTGAAGACCCTGACCCTCAATGGTACATATTCACAAAATGAGGGCAATAATTCCCCACCTCTAAAAGCTATTGTGAGCCTGAAGTGAGCGCGTTTGTTCACATGAAGTCTCCTCTCTGACTCTGTGCCTGGAATACAGGGTGATCAATACATACTGTTCACTTTCTCCTTCTACTCTTTCTTCCTCCAAGTGTTTATGGATTTTATAACTAGGGTTCTTTCTCCTCTGGGGGATACATCTGGCTTTTGGTTCATTGGCCGAGCAAAAGTGATTGACACGTTCAAAACCCAGTAAGGGTCCAATCACTTATTGTGTTCAGGTGTTGTACATAACTGTGCTCATCTCTCATAAACATACACACCAAACACACGCGTATGTACAAGTGGTATTGCAGAATTCTGCAACCTCTGAAGTTTTACAAACATCCAACGCTTTATACCATCACCACAACACATAGAGAATTGCTTGTATAGACACCTGTATACCAAGTGAGACATCCCAGGAAGGAGAGAGCACTTCCTGGTTGGTGTGATCAAGGAAGGCCTCATGAAGGAAATCACATTCCTCAAAGGTTTTGAAGGATGAAATCCAGCAGAGAGAATAGGAGTGGCTTTCCAGACCAAGGGAATAATATCACAGTCCACTGTGGAGCTGGGAAAACACAAAACATGTCTAGACAAGCCCTACAGTCTTGGCTGAGGACAGGGTTTTGTAGAGAAGGACAAGTCAGAGGAGCGAAGGCTGGGGAGACAGTGTGGGACCTGATGGGGTGGGTTCTTGAAGGCCAAATTGAGGCTGGAAGGAATGGGACTCCACTGACAATTTGTGAGAATAGGGAAGAGTTTTTTTTTTCTTTTTTTTTAGGGAAGAGTTTTAGGAAGCCAGCCATGGACAGGATTGAATAGGAACAGTATTAGAGGTCAGGAAACAAGTGTTGAGTCTGTGGCCACACACAGGGCTAGCCAGGTGCCCGCCCCTGGCTGGGACACTGCTGGGTCAGGAGGGCTGGAGTCCCAAGGCAAGAGTACTAGCCTCTTTTTAAGACCACCACAACGATCAAACCCTTCAGCGGCAGCTGCGCAGGTACCCTCAGCTCCACTCTGAGGATCAACAAGTGAGCTCACTCCCCAACACTTGTTTGGGAAATGAAAGAGGAAACTGACTTCAATATCAGGGAGCCTGACTCACTGTTTCTCAGTGATCCTGCACAGGAAGAGTCTCTGAGCCTGCTGCCAGTCACCTCCTCTGTCCACACCTTACCTCATAGGAATGTAGATACCAAAAGGGAGTCCCAGAAACAGAACCCCTAGAGAAACTTCTAAAGATAGGACAGACCAAGCCCTCTTTCCCCACTCCCTGCTGTAAGGTCTTGGGTGCATCACTTAACACCTTTCTAGACCTCGGTTTCTTCATCCACAAAATGGTTGTAGTAACTATCACCACCCATTTGTGCAACTTTTATGAGATCAAATAGCCTAATAAAGCTGAAAGTGCTTGAAGTGCTTCAGAAGCGGTACTAAAGCAATGCAGGGTGTCATGGTGATGCTATTATGTAACTGTGGATGGCCATAGCTTCCACCCCTCTAGTCTGGGCATCTCTTTTCTCTGAAGAGCCTGAACACTGCTCCTGGTGTCTTTTATTCACAAATACTTCTCAAATGTTTCCTCTTGTTTAGTTGTGGGCTTTACACCAGAAGGCACCACAGATACTGCCTACCTGAAACAGACCTTGAGTCAGATACTACGAAAGCCAGGAGGAGGAGGGCCTGGCTGAGAGTGGCTGGGAGCTGACTCACCATCACTCAGCGGGGAAGCTGCTGGTGTCTTGGTCACAGAAAGGCAGGTGACTCAAGGTGGACCTTTCTGGACACAAGAGAGACCTGTGATCACTCATCT